TCTAGGAAAATCTATATCGTTCTATACTTAATTTAAAGGAAACAAAGAAAAGAAAAAACAGCCGTTCACAACAAAGAGCGACAGGAAACTGGTGACGAGGTGGAATTCTGGAATTCTGGAATTCTGGATTCGTCTCCTCCTTTGTTTTCGTTTGGTTTCACTTATTTTACCGGCTTTTTGGGAAGGCTGTCACAGCCCAGCTGTCCAGGCTGTGGGTTCTGTCCCTAGGGGGCGTCGGTCGGTGTGATGTGGTCCAGTGTGTTGTGATGTGGTGAAAGCTGAGGATACGGTCACACGTCCAGGGCCGTCGAGAGTCTGGATCCAGGTCCGGTCCAGGCCGGATCCTGGTTTTCCTCTCTGTCTAACCCAGGTGCATGAGTTGGAGACCAGTGAAGGGCCGGCGGTCTGGGGGGGGGGGGGGTGTGTCCCGACGGCTTCAAGTGTTGAAACTTCACACACACACACACATACACACACACATACACAACTAGTAGACGGAGTGTGTGTGGAATAAATGAAATGAAACCAACACCAATAAAACATCTAGAACATTTAATACAACAACTGTGTCTGTGTCTGTGTCTGTGACTGTGACTGTGACTGTGTCTGTGACTGTGTCTGTGACTGTGTCTGTGACTGTGACTGAACATGAACTGACGGGTTAGTTTAGTTAAACCTTTACTAGGTCAATAGTCCTGAAAATAACTACAGAAATCTGACTTTTTAAAAATAAATAAAAATGTTCAATTTCAGAAATCTCAGATTAAATTAATCTAAATTCTCCTGGGGGGGGCGTCACCACTTCCGGTGCCATGGTCCAGTCACTACTTCCGGTGCCATGGTCCAGTGAAAATACACGCACCTGTTCCCGCACGTCGACTCACGTGCTTAGTCACAGCAAATCAGGGCACGACGTAACACGTGATGACGCACGACGTAAACATTGAACGGTGTGCCGCGTGTTTCGACGGTAGGACGTCGTTGTCGGCTGTGACACACACACACACACACACACACTTTAGAGTCGTGTGTTAACGAAGCGGATTGTCCTGCTGACGTCAACACTCCTGCAGAGTTCCACTCTGGTACGTACTACGATTTTCTTCAGAAATAATTCAAACGGCTGGTACGGTTTTTTCTGATGTGTGGTAACCGGAAGTGTGTTACCGGAACCCGTTACCGCTAACACGACATGGTGACGGTTATCTCTAGTTAATATTTACTTCTCTGATCTAGTGGTAGTAAAATGTGGGACCAAGACGTGGGTCACGTGACGAGGTGACCAAGCGGTAACGGATTAAATGATCGTCGCATTCACTTCCGTGACCGACCGACTGACTGGCGATATATGACGTCAGATCCTGTAAAGCTCCTCCCAAAAAGATGCCAAGGATCAGGGTTTTTTTATTCCTTTGACTATTTCACGTAAGTAATGATTTTAAATGTCTCTAAAAGAAAGAACTTTTAATAATTTAATTCCAACATTTCATGTAGACTCCTGTCTCAGTCTGGCCCAGACTGTGGGCCATGTTTGTTTGCTGTCCAGCCCACCAGAACATCACGGGTCCTGGATCTGGTACTTATTGATGGTGAGTAACTAGAACCTCAGCTCCCACTGGATGAGGGTTAACTGGTGACTGTAGGTGTGAATGTGAGTGTGAATTGGTGACTGTAGGTGTGAATGTTAGTGTGAACGGTGGTATTACCTGCTGCCCCCGCCCCCCCGCTTTAATCCACATTTGTATTGATTTTTAACTCATTAACGTTACATGACCAATCACCAGGGATCGTTTAACTGGTGACCCGGTGTTGGTACCGATCCTTGGTCTGATGACTAGACAGAACTGTGGTGATGACAGATGTTTCTTCCTGAACCATAAATATTTAACCCTCAGAGAACGTTGTTCTAGAACCGTCCACTGTAGAAGAGCTGGAGGGGGAGGAGCCTCATTCACAGAGAGAACAGTGTTCTGTTCCGTCCAGAACCGTCAGTTCAGGAGAAAAGACTTCGTGATTCGTTGAAGCTGCTTTTTCTGCAAACAGGAAAGTAATTATTGTCTTTCTTCAGGGACCAGGGGGCGCTGGAGCGGCTTCTCAGCCCACAGTTGTTATATATTTGAACCCGTCTTCCTGTCGGTCGACACATAAATTATACACAACGTGCTGCTCCGCAAAGGGGGAGGGGGGGGTGGGGGGCACAGTTACAGGTCACTTTGTTACAGCCAGTAAAAATGTAGGACATGTCCGAGTGAGTTAGAGGCCAAAAACTTTACTGCCCCCCTCCCCCCCCCTCCCACCCCCACACCAACACCTTTACAATGACAAATAAATTCATACACACACACACTTTCTGTCAGTCTCCCTGACAAACTCACTCACACCCTCACCCTCACCCTCTCTCTAATTTCCCCTGTGTCTCTGCAGTGAGCTCACTGCAGTGCGACTCCCCCTCTCTCCCCCCTCTCTCCCCCTTCTCCCCCGCCACCACCCTCAGTATAATAGAATATCGATCGCTCGCCTTTGTCGCAGTGTGTAAGCCAGTGTGTGTGTGTGTGTTTGTGAAAGACGAGGGCCCTCCAAGGTCATTGTCATGACAACCTGAGTGGGGGCGCTATCGCAGTGCTGTCACAGACCACAGGTCACAGGGGTCACATGAAACACAGGACAAGAGGCCGGGCGTAGAGGGACGGGGGAGACGGGGGGACGGGGGTGATGAATGCTGCAGTGCTGCATCCTGGACAGGAGGAGGCAGGAAGTCCACGGTGTATTCACACCAGGCCGGTGGAGAATTCACACCAGGGCGAGGGGGTAGAAATGGGTCTTAAACAGAAAAACAGTTTTTTAATAGTTTTATCTGTGGGAAAAAACAGAAATGGTTCTTAGACAGCGGTGCATGTAATGCTGGGGTACTTGGGCTCCCTCTAGTGGTACATTGGAGAAATGAAATGCTAATAGAATGTGTTTTATACGTAGTATGTGTGTACTGTAGGTGCCAGTTGTAGTACTACTTCACTGAAGACAGTACTGTAGCTGTGCAGTAGTCTAATGAGGTATTCTCTACTTCCTGTACTGGTACTGGACCCCCGCTGGTCTGTGCTGCTGTATTTGACCACTGGTCACGCTGGTGCTGGTCCAAAATGGTACCTGGTGTCAAATGAAAACCAGTTTTCTTGACAGTAGAACTTTATTGCACTTACAAAGTTGTTTGGATACAAAAACAAACACCTTAAATGAAAATGTAAACAAGTAAATATTTAATTTCTGAATGTTGAAAGAAGCCCAGCTGAAACTGTACCCAGTACCATGTGATCCCAACAACAAACAGAAATACTGGCCCTTTAAGATGAAGTACTTTTACCCACCAACGTTGTGTAGTCCACATACTGAATACAGTAATATTTGATTTGGTTTTTAAAGATTATGATTATGTAGAAAAGTCCTTCAAATGGTGTCAGTTTCTTGGACATGTTGGTTCTGTGATGCTGCCCCCTGTCTGCACGTCTCACTCTTGTGTTCAGGATATTATTGGGTGAAATGTGTGTGGGGCGGGGCTGGGGCCGGGGCCCAGTCCTCATTAGGTCACAGCCCAGTCTTTAGGTACTGCAGTAATATTCTGGGCAGGAATGTTGACAATAAATTGTGTTTTTACAGAAAAGTATCGTGTTGCGTTGAATTGGAGCTTTGCTGCCAACTAGTGGACCAGTTCATTTGACCTGTTTTTGTGGTGGACACTTGACACTTGACCAAATTCCCACTCATTCCACCTTTAAAATCCTTGGACTGGAGCAGTAAACGGCACGTGGTCTTGAAGTAAAACTTTTGTTTTGGCAGCAGGTTTTTTTTTTTACAGAAAGATGCAACTTTATACAAGGAAGGCGGTTTCACTAAAACCTCTAACAAATGTAGCAGTGACATAAGATGATGTCACAGGAAGCAACATGTTGATTGACATGTAGAGAAAGGCTTGTACTACGAGTACACAGTACTACTGTGTACACTTACCCATTACCAATGAAAAGTATTTGTATTTGCATTTTTGATTACTATGTGTACGTCAACTGTGTTTCAGTAACAATTACTTCATAGATGAGGAGCTTCTTGATGCACTGAATCAGACGGAGGAGGAGGAGGAGGAGGTCCACACAGAGCTGAGGAGAAGACGGAGGAGGCGCTCCTCAGGTCGTCTGGTCCGGCGTGGGACCGGACTCCTCCTACACCGGCTCCATCAGCAGCTCCTCCAGCTCGGACGGTTCCAGCTCACGGAACGCAGCGTGAGAGCCAATCACAAACAGCGTCGCTCCTGACAAAAGACCAAGAGTGAAGAGTGAGGGAGAAGGTCGGGCCGGAGATCTGATCTGTCAACGTTCTGTTCAACCTACCCAGGACCCAGAAGACCGCAGCTCCAGCTCCAGCCAACCAGAACACAGGCAGAGACAGAGCTCCAGCCAGACTCAACTGATGAGGGACAGTGAGCTCCTTACCTGCATTGAACACACACACACACACACACACACACACACACACCCACCATGTTGTCCCTGTGTTTATTAACATCACCACAGAAACAGACTTTTTGTTTTTGCTAGTGAAGGAAATACTTTTTTATCTTATAAAATAAAATACTTTCAGACTCATGTTAAAGTCTGGACTCTTCGTCTGGTTAAAGCACCAGCACATTCAAAACAATGGATCCTGTAGGCTGTGAAAGAAAACAGACCACGGAGAGGTAACGACGGTAACGTAACGACGGTAACGTAACGACGCATCAGGAATCAGTTAAAAATCTGACTGTTGTTGAGAACAATATTGTGATTCTTAACATGTGCTCTAAATACTTCAAAAAAATTACAGGCTGATAAAACAAATGTGAACACAGCCTAAAACATAGCACAGAACTGTTGGCCCCGCCCACTATGTGATTGACATCTAGAATGGACCAATGGAGTCCAAGTCACAGGCCATAATCCAACTACAAACCTTCAGAGTTTGGACAGCACCAGAAGTCAACTTCAGGGATGAGAAATATTTATGAACATTGAATAAAATATTTGTGAGATAATGTATGAGTTTTCTTACCCATAATGACCAACTTTGACTCCAGCGATTTGAGGTGAATGATGTAAAAGGCACCGACAAACACAGCCAAGGCGATGAGCAGCATAGGAGAGCTAATGCTAAAGACAAACAGTTCAAATGTCAGTTTTTAATATCTGGAGTACGGCAGTACCAGCAGGACAACAGCAGAGGGACACATTCAGTCCAACGGTCAGAGACGGACACTTGTTCCTTACATGCAGTAGAGGATGAGGCCGAGGAAGATGAAGGTGTAGTTGCTGTTGTACGTTTCCACGTTTTTCACCACTCTCTGACACATCTCTCCAAAGTTGCGGGGTTTTGAAAACTTGCGCTGGTCTACGAACGTGGCCCAGGGTCGGATGGACATACGGCGTCGGTCCACCCACTCCTTAGCCGCCGTGACGGACAGGCCTTTAGGGAGCCAGATCCTGTCAGATGATACACAGAGGACGTGAGTACAGGAGGAAGTATTACTGCAGGACCACAGACCGACTGGTCCTGGGTTTTCTTATGTGTCACAAAAAAAGAACAGAATAAAGAACAAATTTGAGCTCTCACTTTGACAGGAATCCTCCTCCTCCTGTCCGAGTCAACAGGACGTCTTCAGATCCAAACATCTCTCCAGCTTTGCTGTCCATGTCCACCAGGCAGTTCTCTCCTTTGGACGGTTCCGATGACATTTAAAGACTTTTGCTGCTGTGAAACCAGAGTAAGTAGAAACCAAAGGTTCACTACACACTTCAAAGAGACAGTGACAATTACATGATAGGTGTTCACTGCACTCCACCCTGAGAGAGTGGACTGTACCAAAAGACGGTGGACTGTACCAACTCCACCGTCTTCTGACAATCAGACTTCAAACATTGAAGATTTATTTTACAATGAAGTCAAAATAGTGACGCTTTCCTTTTATTTCCTGGATTCAATAATGCTTTGATATTTGCTGACTAATGCAGATCCTGATCTGAAGTAACTCCATCACACACACACACACACCTAGTACTAATGTCCTTTAATTACACCAGAAAAGTAAAACCCTATTTAAAATACAATATTTAAAAAAACTAAACAACTAGCAAAAATTATACACAGTAAAAAACATTTAGTTAACTGTATTGTTAGTCTTTATTTCTTCTGTGTCTTCATCAGTCACAGTTGAACCGCAGACCTGTTTAACACGTCTCAGCGCTGATGGACTGAGGTATAAACGATGATTGAACAGATCACGTGGTACAGGTTGTACTGTGTTTAACCCAACTGTCAGGTTTGTTTTCTGTGCTAAGACACACAGATACAAAGTAACGACATCCCGTCATCAGACATTATGTTGTCCACTCTTTTATAACAACTGTTCAGAGTCCGTTTTCATAAAGTTAACTTCATCCTCAACGTCAACAACGTTCAGATAAATACAAACGAAGGTTAAGGAAACATGGTTGTTTGTTTACGAACTTTTCTGCTTCTTTTTTTTTTAACAAACTGACTTGTCAAATGTAAACAAATACCAGTTTGGTGTTTTTATTTTTTAAATCCTCTGTGCACCGTCTGTATCTGTGAAAACCCACTCACTTCAATACAACCTGACGTTAAAGCAGTGGAAAATATGAGTCAATTAAACCAGGACTGTCACCGCCTTCTTTAACATACAGGACATTCCGTTAAACAAAGAACTTTAACCAACGTCGAAAGACGTCTTTAAAAACACGAACACGAACTACCGGAAGTAGAATAAACAGCAGTCTGTGCGTGTTGTCAAAAGACCAACTTTACTGTCTGTTCTGTCGCTACAATTAGCTTCAGTGCTAACTTTGAAGCGCAAGCCGTTTTATTGACCACACACTGTCAAACCAACACCAGTGTGTGTGACGTATGAAGGTAGTTTCAAACTCAAGGCGTAAATGCTCGAATTTTAACTTTTCAGCGAAAACATACTCACATTAGAAGTTGGGGTGGATAGTTGTGTTGTTGTCCCTCTGACTCACGGATGTGATGTGGCTCTTACTTTACTTCCTACTCCCTGGACTAACGGGCGGAACGCGAAACACTGCCACCTATTGACTGGTGGTAGAAGACTGAAGGATCAAATATAGGAGGAAAATATAGATTTACTGACACCATGAGATGTAGATTTAAACGTGGTAATAGTTAACCTAATGAGCTAAAAGTGGTTTCATAGCTTCATAGAGCGGAGAGTCCTGGGTTCGATTACTACCGTAGAGGAGCCCAAGGCTCCATAATGTTAATCCTCCTGTGTAAGTCGCTTAGGATAATGGCTTCTTCTAAATGTAAAATGTAATGAAACTAAATGAAAATAATAATAATAAAAAAAAACAAATTAACTTCGGAGAGTAATATCGTTTTTTAATATATTTTTTTAATTATACCTCTTATTGTCAAACCTGCCGAGCAACTAAAAAGACGTTGAGACAGGTCAAACTGGAACTGTAGAATTCAAGAAGACGGTATGAAGCCAATATGGAAACCTGTTCTATTGGTGAATGTTATTACAGTACACGAATGAGCATAGAATTCTATTCTGTTCTGTTCTAGCCTAATGGCCATTAGTTGTAATAAAATAGATTGTTCTGTTCTAGCCTGCCTGAACATTCTAGTCTGGTCAGTGTATTTGTTGAGCTGCATTATTTTATAGTTATTTAAGTGTAACTCGGTTTTGTGGTCAGGTAATGGCCATTAGTTGTAATAAAATAGATGTATATTGTATAAAGTCAATTTAATAAATGTAATAATTATTCTATTCTGTATGATTTTAATAATTTTAGGGTTAGGGTTAGTTGTTGACGACCATCTGATTCGGGATTCCATTTATTCCACAATAATTTTAGGGTTAGGGATAGTTGTTGACGACCATCTGATTCGGGATCAGCTTCTTTAAAACGTGACACGTGGCGTCACGCATTCCGTGAGTTGTGATTGGCCAGTTTTCCGGACTATGGTGCTGCTGTCAAAACAGGGGGAGTTCTCTACTCCTCAGATGTAAACAACACGGAAGACTAGTCTTTTGTATCGTATTTAAACGAAGTTAACGGTTTAGCAACATATTTTACGTTAGTACGTCGACATTATCCAGTTTCCATCTTCGAAACACGCAACTGCGTTGCTAATGGTAGCAAACGGCGTTAGGAATACAAGCTAGGTAACAGTTTTCGTTTAATGTTCATGCTATATATATATATATAAATATTTCAAACATGTCAACATGGTTGACTAGTTTATATGTATAGTTGTGTGATACTATGAGCAGTGTATGGCAGCCGATGTGATAATTGTTAGTTTAAATTGTCAGCGTGATTCGTAAAGGCTGCCCTTGTTCCTCATCTGTGTTGTTTTTTTTTTCCTCAGGGAAACGCGACTGATTACGTAACGCGTCAAAGTGATAATTTGCTGCACCGGTCACTTCTCCCGCTGTTGTCGTTTGGCCTCCGAGCGACTGAGACACAACCGAAAGTGTGTAAAACTTCGAAATTTGAAGTAACCGTCGACGACACGGCGGACACGGCTGACGCTTTGTCCTGTAAGACATCGTCTCTTTGACGGTGACAACAGGTAGGAAGTGCTGAAACGGTGGCATTAGCTCGATGCTAAAGCCAAGAAAGCTCTGGAAAAGAAGTTGAACAAACACATAGCTTAGCATCATTTCTGTCGTCGCAGTGGTCTGCAACCAACAACACTAAAAAAGATGGGTTTTTAACAAGCAAGTTTGAGTTACTGAGCAAAAATAAGTGTGTGAAGCTTTGTGTATTGCACTGCAGTAGAACTACAGATTTATTAAGAAGTCAAAAGAAAACATTTGTTGCTTTTTAAAACTGCTTTTTAAACTGTTTCATCACAAGTCTGGGCCCATGACTAAGGTCAAGTTTATAATTTGACAATAACATGTTCCAACACAGAATATTCAGTATTACTCACTCACTACAATGGAAATGAGGAAATCATGACGTTTTTAGGGATTACTGTGGGTGATAATGTGACATTTGTGTGTTTTATTTTTTGATTTATTCACTTTTGTTCCGACAGATTTGACACAGCTGACAGAGCGGTGAAGGCTGCAGGAACATGGCTGCGCTCCGTCACCGTGGATGTCCTCAGAGGAACCGACCCTGCTGGGATGAAGCAGCCTGTGTGACTCACTATGGAATGATGTCTCTACATGAAGTTTTTGAAACAGTGGGTTCCCAGCTAACGGAGACCGAGATTGAGTTGTTGTCGTTCCTTCTGAACGAACTGTGTCCTAGCGCACACCCCCTGGACCCAGCAGGCTGGACTGTTGATTATCATAAAGAGGATTCAGAAAGCAGCGCAGTGTCTCCCAGTCCTCAGCTGCTGAAGGCCTGGAGGCATCTGAAGCCACGGGCCTCTCAGCTGCCCTTTGTTGCCCCGTTCCAGCCAAAGAGTGGCCTTGAGCTGCTGCTGGAGCTGGAGAGGCGAGGATATCTGAGCGATGGAAACCTGGAGCCACTCCTACAGTTACTGAGAGTTCTCACCCGTCATGATCTTCTGCCTCTGGTGTCCCACAAAAAACGGAGGACAGGTGAGGGTGACCCAGGACACGCTAAAGGCTACCATTGACTGAGTGTGTGTGTGTGTGTGTGTGTGTGTGTGTGTGTGTGTGTGTGCTGTCAAACGTCACCACAGTCCAGACCTAACTGAGCGGTGTGTTCTCCTCAGTGTCTCCAGAGAGGACTGGAGGGAGGTGTGGACCAAACAGCAGAGGGGGGGGGTGTGCCTCTGGTGGGCGACAGACTGAACTTCCTCTGCCATTTTACACACAGCAGCTGAGAAGCAGTAAGTCAACGCTGTTCACTGACTAAATGTTCTGGTTCTGATGGTTCCAGTGTTTGATTTACTTCAAATGTATGTCAAATACATGGTTTTATTATCAAGGACAGGTTTGTCCTTTATTCTCTCTCCAAACAGAGGTTTAGTTTTCATGGTTATACTGTTCTGATTTTTAATATGTCAATAGTTGTTGTAAAACATTTCAAGTGTTTGAGATCAGGCTTAGTGTGTGTGTTTATATATTTATGAATATATTAGTGTATGTGTAAATACATATGTAAATGTTTATATACAGAATGTATACATACAGTACGTAATATTTGTATATAATATATAAACTTGTTTGTGAAGGTGAAACTAATTTCTTCCTCACTCCATCAGGTATTCATGTTCCTGGGCCACACGTCAGGAGAAGGAGGAGGAAAAGAGGAAACGGTTGGAGCCGTAGGCCCAAGAAAAGCAGCAAACAGAAGCAACAGCTGCCTCCACCAACACCACCCCCACATAAGAAGTCCTGTAGTAAGTGGCACTTCTTCACTCCTACCACAGACACTACTTGACTCTAATGGTTGTTTTCAGCATCATTCCCACGCCTCTCTCTGTTTGTCCTGAGCTCCAGCTTGAATGAAGGAGTTTGCATGTCAAGTTTTTTTTTTTTTTTGCTTTTTGCTCTAAAATTTAAAAACACTATCACCTGAAATCCCATTGTTTGTTGAGGCCTGTGTTCAGTTCAACTAAGTCTTTAACTTTAACTGATGTAATGATTTGAACAGAACCAGAACATTTACCACAGATTACTGCTGCTAAAAGATTTATTCAGTCAACAGGAACATGTGAAATGATCTAAAATGTTCAGCACTTGAACTATGATTCAAACCTCTGCTTTCACAACCTTCACATTTAATCTGTGTGTGTGTGTGTGTGTGAAACGCTCTGTCCTTCTGCTGTGATTTACATTGGACTAGAGTTTCAAGAACCTTAGACCAGTGTGTACTTTGAACAGTACTACGTTACAGATATTTAAAGAGAAATCTTGGCATCACTGTTTGAGATTGTTATGACTTCAGTGTCATTTTAACCTACTGTCAGTTTAACATACACAGCTGCAGTAAAGTAGTTTCTGTTAGTTACAAACTCAACGCATGAATCACCAAGTTCACCCCCCCACTCCTCCCACTCCCCCCTCCTCTTCTTCCTCCTCCCCCACCTCCCCATCCTGCTGGACTAAAACCACAGTGGTATCAACTCCAGGCCTCTTTTTTTTTGCTCCCTCTGTGCATTCTTGTCCGCTCATTCCAACCTCTGCCTCACCCACTGGACTGTGTTCTGCTGCCGCTGCTCAGACCCGCTGGGTTCTTTCCAGTTCTTTTGCCTTCTTCATGGAATACGTTCTGTTTCACGTTGAATCATTCAAGCAGTCACACGAGTCAAACGTGGAGCTCGACTCCTGAACCTTGGTCTGTAAATCAATGCTCAGCATCTATTTGTTCTAAAACTTCTGCCCAGCGCTCTGTCAACCAGCTCCGCTCTGCAGACGCGGGCACCAGTTGCTCTTGTGTGACGTTTGCTCAGTGATTCAAATATGACCTCGACTTTAGAACGACCTTCATCACCTGTTGGTCAGAGTCGGTGCTGATGACAGAATGAGCAGCCATCCCAGTTATTGAGTGATGTACATGTGACCTGTTGCTCTCTTCACCTGACCTTTGATTTCACCAGGTTGGCTCAGGATTGTGACTCAGATCCAGAGACAGAGGTGGAGGCTGAGGAGCTAAACAGTAGAGTCTGTCACACCCACTGCAGTGTGAGTGAGTGTGTGTGACATCGTCTCTGTCATGTGCTCTCTCACATGTCCAAGGTAAACAGGCTCTCCCCTTCTTACCAAAAGAAAGGGATGCTGCTCTTTGTTGGATGCCTGTGTATGCTGTAGCTGCCCCCGTGACCCCTCCCCCTCAATATTCAACGACCTTTTCACGAATGAAACCCAGTTCACAAAGCCGCGTCGGACCAGAATCAGAACCTGAACACACGAAGAGAAATGTATAAAAACCCGACACAACCTCCTGGTAATGATGACGTGTTTAAAGTGAGTCAGTTTGTCAGACCAAACCAGAGTTTAGAAAACTCTTTAACCCTTAAAGACAAAAGTAAAACACCTGTAAAAGACCTGTTTGTTAAAGTGCCTGTGGAGAAACCTTATAGTTGCAATTTGCCTCCTTTCAAAAAGTGTCTGTGAAGTGGATTCAGTGATTTAAACCCGTAGTGTCAAAGTCCTCCCGTCGCCCGTCTGTAGGACCAGATACTATATCAACATCCAGTCCGGACCTAAAGCCTCGTCCTTTACTCAGAGAATCTGAAATGGGCAGCAGCGGGTCGCTCCTTTAAAAGCCCTCATAACCTTAACTGAGGCAGTTCTGACATAAATGCCCCCTCCGTGCTGTGCTGGAGGAAACTCCTGCTGTATCTTATCTGTGCTCTCTGTGTGAGCTCTGGGTGTGACTGCGTCAGGTCGGACGGACGGACAGACGGACGGACGGAGGGTTCAGTCCACGCTGGGCCCTGACTCTGAACCAACCGCTCGGACTAAAAACTCTCCATCGTCTCAGTTAAGTTTCTAATGTAAACACTGTCTCTGTCTGTTGACGTTAACTCACAGCTGTGTCCTCAGTGACTCTGAACTCAGTGGCACCAAATAGAAGCTGCATCTTCTGATCCGATCTTTAGTCACCTTGACGATACGATATGTTGCGTTATATTGCGATACTACAGGCACAATGATATTTTGTTTTTGTTCTAAACAATTTAATCAGGTTACTAACACTGGAACAGAGGGATGAATGAAAAATGAACCAAATCCAGGAATATTGGACTGGGAATTGGTGAGAAAAAAATCAATAACTGATCAATGACTGAGGAGATTGATACGGGATCAGGAAACTAAACATCGCGATATATCGGCGTATTAATATTTTCTTACAGCCCTAATTATTCGATAAGACCTACCGTATAATCAGTCCAACGTTAGCCTCACCAGAGACGAAGCTTCTCTGGACTACAGCTAAGAGCGCCTCCTGTGGTCGTAGATCTGCAGCACAGCTGTTTCAGAGCTGGTCAGAACGTCTTTTACTGAAAACCTCCTCTAAACCACTAAGGCGTGAGTGCTGTTCCTGCCTGTTAATGTTGAAAGAAAAGAAGCCAGTCCTCAGATGTCCAACCCACTTGTGCTTGTCTCTTTCTCTTTGTCTCCTTCCACAGTTCTAAACAGTCCGACCTGTGTGTCCCTCCACTCAGTGGCAGGGGGAGAAGGCACACTAAAAGCTCAAACTACGCAAAACAGTTCAGAGAGCTGGTTTTTGTCTATGGGGGGGGCGAGAGTTTCTCCCCTAACTCTTCACTCCCTCATTCAGTGGTGCAGCAGAAAAGCCGATCGATAAAAGAGTTGAAGCTCTCCGATCCGAGTGACTCCTCGTAAATGGGTACTTAAACTTTTTTTTGTGCCGGCTGAGATGGAAGAAGCCGAAGGGGCTTGGTGTTTAAAGTAAGAAAATGAAAGCTGTGCTTCCTAATGTCTTGTCTAAGTGGATGTCTGTGTGTGATGAGGCGTGAAGTGCTCTGTAACCCTAACACCGTGACTCCCACTGCTCTGCTCCTCTGCCACTGTCTGCTCCTCCAACCTGCTCCACACATCCAGTGACTGCACCACGGCCAGTGATCGCTGGACGTCACTGGACGTCACTGGACGTCACTGGAAAGACCACTACAGCAGTACAGGTTTGATAAAGTATATACCTATATATTATAAATAAAATATACATTCTATTATAATGAAAAGTTTAAAATAATGTAACTCAATTCTAAATGACAACGATTTTAAACAATTACCTAAAAGTCAAAATTAAATTATTGACATCCAGTCACAGGCCAATTAGGACGTGATTTACTGCATGGATTACCATGGTTACCAGTGGACGAACAAAAGTTCAGAACAAACAAGTTCAAAGAGTGACTTCAATCACATTGGTGTTCCTCCAGAGGGCGATAATCACACTATATAATGTGCTGACTGCTGACTTGACAACATTGGCAGATTTAGTGGCGAGCACGCGGCGCCAGACTCGCTTTTTCATTATGTAGCTGCCGGCTTATCAAGAGAATTAGAATATTCTAGCTCTCAACAAGGCAGTGATGGTGGGTGTGTGTGTGTGTGTGTGTGTGAGACAGCAGACAAGGAGGATTTTGTTAAATTAGCATTGATTTCTAATAGATATATTATTACGTTAGCAGGCAGTGATTAGCTACAGTTTGTGGTAATTGTATTCTTTTTCTTAATCTGATTCTAAATCATAAATGTTGCTGGTATTTAATGTTCGTTCTTTCACACTTTCTGACCAGATCGTAAATTTAGGTTTGGTCTCAAAATGTTGACACTGTGTACCACCACTCCACGACCTGTAGTTGTCTGTCCAAGTATGACCAGTGTGTCCACCCAGCTGAGTACAGCGTACAAAAATAATTAAATGTCTGGTGCTTTGCCCCCCCCCCCCTGCCCCCCCCCCGACCCACCCTTGTTGAGTTTTCCAGTCTGAAGCCATGACTTCACTGAAGTTTCGTAGCTCCGCTTTTTTGCCAAAAAAGTAAAAAAAAACAAAACAAAACAACCAAACATTCATCTATTTCCCTGCATACCACCAGAGGGAGCCCATGTACTTCCAGTGGGAAGCATACCATAGTTTGAGAACCACTGAATGATATCATTTCATTCTGCTGGTGTATCTCCAGTCCTGATCAACATTTGTCACATGGTATTGAGTAAATGTCCTCTGGTCTCCACTGCTCTGTTTTCATAGGCGTCCAATCACAGCTGCATGAACCAGGAACTGGAACTGTTGTTCCCCCGTGTTCACGGCTCCTCAAATGTTAAGAGATTCAAAATCAATACCTTAATTCAACATTTGCATTTCTAATCCTGGCATTTTCCAAACTTTTGTCCTCCAGAGGCAACGTTATCACCGCACTGAGGTTTGGGGGGTGCGGGGGGGGGGGTGTCTTGCAAATTTTGCTGTTCTAACATCTTCTGGTCTGTCCTAACGTGTACTGGTCTGTCCTAACGTGTACTGGTCTGTCCTAACGTTTTGTTCTAGCAGCACTGGTTTCTAACCGTTGCGCTCACATTTCAGTTAATATTTGTAAATAATGTTTGTCATTTAACATTTCCATTTCTTTGTCCGTTTGCCTTTAAAATGTTGACTTTAAATCAGAGTCAGAAAATCTGAAGGTCAAAGGTCAAAGGACATTAACTAAGGAGAAGAAGACAAAGTGTCATGGAATAAATGAGGTGAATTTCCATTGAAAGTTCATGACGTGTTTCAGATACAGATATATATATATGCATATATTTAATATATATTTATGTTATATTATATATAGATTATTTTCTTCCATTTATTACATGCTTTTCAAATATAAAGTCCTTTAAAGTTTCAAGGGGGGGTGTAAAAAATTGTTGTTGTTTTTCTTTTTTTTCTTTTTTGTTATGTGTTTTTTTTTTTTAATTTAATTTAAGAGACAGAGATTTGTTGATGCCATAACTGCCTCAAAACTGCCTGGAAAGTGGTTTCTGTTCAACTCTGCAGTGAGTCGTGGAAGAAAGTGTGTGAAGAGAAATGGATGCTATTGGTAGTAAATACTGTTTACTTCTAATAAAAGGCCTTTGAGTGGGAGAGAGATGGAGTTTTGTTGCAGCAACAGTCATCAGCCGCTGGTTTCCACTCCAAGTTCTGGAATAATGACATGGGGACATTCTCAGCAGTGTTCTTGCTCAGCACAGTATGTATCCTCTGATCTTCCTCGCTGTGCTGTTGCATGAGTGCCAATCTTGTGAATGTGAAACTGCAGGAGATTTGTTTTCAACAACCGTGTCCATCAGAATAATTCCGACGTCTTTTAGCTCAAACTCTCTTTAAGTCCAACTCCTCTGATTTACTGCGGTGTGTTGGCTGGAAATCTGACTTCTATCATTTTTCTGGTGACCTCTGGCTTTGATCTGGTTGTTTAAGCATTGATTCAAGTCCAATATTTACCTAGTCCAGGGGTGTTAAACTCCTGGTTCAGGGGTTAGTTCCAGCCCTCAGTCCTCTCAGATCTGGCCTGTGACTAGAAGTGAATCACTGATTAAATTTTTCTCTAGAGGTCATTTTTGAAAAAAAGAGAAAGAAATTCAATTATAAAAAATTGGCATTTTAAGAAAAAAACCCATTCCTTTTGTATTTAAGAGTTAGTATGAAACAGTATTGAACATGGAACACTGATCTAATGACAGCAGTGACCCTCGTGACCCCTGACCTAACTGTCAAAGGAACATTGGCTCGTCTGTGGAACCTTTTTCACTGGATCTGACGGTTCTAAAGCCGAGGGGCTGGGGCTGTAGCCGGTTCAAACATGGCGACGCTTTAATTACTGTAGTTGTGGTCGCTGGTACTGTAGTACTGTAGTACTGTAGTACTCAACATTGATAAAAATACTCTGTCCTGCCAATATATACCTGTTCTACTCTTAGTCCGAGCACAAATCAGTCTCCGTCCTCACCCGTCCTCACCCCAGTTCTCACCCCAGTTCTCTTGAACTTCTGATTTTAAATGTCTGATTTCTGTTCATTCAAGTGTCAACGAACCTGAAACAGTTCTTATAACCATTTTCTTTGTTCATGTTTTTTTTCCTCCCCCCTCTGTCGTTCCACTCACCTTCACTCCCACTTCTGCCTCCCCTTCATTTATCCTTTCTTTCCTCACACTCGTCTTCTCTCCTTCAACCCACACTATCTGCCTCACCCTCATTCGTCACCCTCACCCCTCTGCTCTCCCTGTTGTTCTTCCACCACACCCTGACCCCCCCCCCCACCCATCTCTGACTCCCCCCTCTTTCACATCAGATGTCCGCCTGCGTGTGCGGGCCGAGTACCTGGAGCACGAGTCGGCTCTCCGCAACAGCGTCTCCTCGGACAAGCAGCAGCCGCTCGAGCGCCAGTTTGAGTTGTTCGGCCAGGCCAGCTCTCTGTTGCGTTCCAGAGACCTGGGTTCCGTGGTGTGTGACATCAAGTTCACAGAACTGGAGAACCTGGAGGCTTTCTGGAGCGACTACCTGAGTGGAGTTCTGCTGGAGGCCCTGAAGGGGGTCTTCATCACGGACTCACTGAGGCTGGCAGCGGGGGCCGAGGGTGTGCGTCTGCTCATCAGTGTGGACCAGGATGACTATGAGAGAGGCCAGCGGCTGCTGAGAGGCGCTCCACCCTGTGACCTCGGACACACGCAGAACCGCGGGGGGCCGTAGGCCGCTCCAAGTCTCTGGGTTTAGTCCAGAGGAGAGATTTTCTGATGAAAACATGAGGCTCAGAGTCGTGAGGCTTCATGTAGAGCTTAGATTTATCAAGTATTTCAAGGTGCTGTTCGCATTGTAACCACTTGATGGCAGCACTCACCACTGGTTTGCATTGACAAGAGCCTCTCGACCCCTTGTTTGGACACGTCCTTTGTTAAAAGACCCAGTTCTTACGGGTTGTCGTACTTTTTCTTTTGGGTTTCATCACAGGAGCTACTTCCATGACAGAGAAATAAAATCGGAATTTTCTTTATTCCCTGTGACGGGGGTCAAGTCTTCGGCCCCTGGTGTAAATGAGCGTTGTACCTTGTACTAATATTATGAACGTCAACACTGTGTCCATATGTTCAGTGGTCTTTGTGGTCACGGCTGTGACTACACTCGGTGCGAATCCCTTCTTTATAGACTTGGCCGCCGTGATGCTCAGTAATCCAAAATCCAAAAGTGCTTGAGATGATCTGTGAAATTCTGACAAATCTGGAAACTTAGTAAAGTGTCAGGAAAAGTTTGTAATCTGAGAGATTGTGAGCACAAATGGGAAAGTGTGGAGCTTTGGCTACAGATCGACCCCCGGTGGCCCGTCCACCAACTTACACCGCTTCATATCAAACGGCGGGATTATCTGCCCTGTGTACCACCGTAACCCACATAGTAATTGCTGTGGTGGGTGGAGGTGAGGGTTGTCAGTAGATGACACTGCTGATTGGCTCTGGGCCTCAGTGGAGCATAAAGGATTCATCATCACAGCCTTGTCAACAGCAGCTCTGATAATGCGGCCGCGGCCGGCGTCCAGACTTCCAGCGGCGCCTCGGCGAGTGCCTCTGTCTGCAGGTGAAGCACAGGGCGGCGCGTCAGTCGATAGACGAGATGTCGGGGAGATCAAAATCAAAGGTTCACATCCCGGCTCCACTCAGCCCTGCGATGTGGCTCACAGGCAGCTGTCTACTCACCCTGCTGGAACTAATGCCTGGACTTTCCTCATAGAGTCGATCAATACGACGTCTCACTCTTAAGTCCCTTCATACAGGCATGACTTAAACAGACTACTGCCTGCACTGGGGGGGGCGGAGGGGGGGGACAGGGTGTGATATATTCATGTTAACGTTTGTGGTTTTGTTAAAAAAAAGGTATATACGTATATATATATATATGTGCATATATCTGTAGCCAGTTAGATGTGGTGTGTCAACATATAAGGATGTGTTGAGTTGATTTTGCCGTAGCTGTTGTTTTTGTTGTAATCTTTGTACGTTACAAATACTTTGTGGTGGATGTTAAATAAAAGTCCTAGAACTGTTATCACCCGAGTTCTTTGGTAACAGCAACGGAAGAAAGACAAAATAAAATGTTTGGAATATCGTTTTAAAATTTCAAAAATTACACTCTACGCCGACGACTCATCAGTTTTTAAAAAGGCGACTGGACTGACGTGGTCACACGGCGGTGTTTCCAAACACAGACATCGAGCAGAAGTTCTGACAAAGTTTAATGTGTGAATATGAGGTTAAAGGTTAACGACGTTAAAGAACCACTTTTGATCTGTCCGTTCTTCTCCATCTGCACAGTGATTGGACGGAAAACCTGAAAATGTAAATGTTAAAGAGGAGCAGACGTGCTAACAGCTGTTGGTTTCCTTGTCTTACAGCAAGAAGGTCATTGGTTCAAGCTCCAGCTGAGGGTCGACCAGTCTGGAGTTAGCATGTTCTACCACCTGTGTGTGTGTGTGTGTGTGTGGGGGGGGGGGGGGGGGTTCCCCGGGTCCCCTGCCCCCCCCCCCCAACACCAAGAACCAGCAGAATTAGGTCAAATGTTCTAAATTAAACAGAGGTGTGAATGAGGGTGTGAATGAGGGTGTGAATGAGGGTGTGAATGAACGTGTGAATGGACGTGTGAATGAGGGTGTGAATGAGGGTGTGAGTGGACGTGTGTCTTCAGTTGTGACCCTGTGATGGACTGGAACTCCAGGCTCTAACTCCGTCCTGGACCGAGGTTCCCTCAACAGTACAACCCTAAAAAGCTGACCTTCTTGCTGTAAGGTAAGAGCACTTGACACCCCTCCACCGCGCGGCCCGGTCTCGGAGTCTTTGTACATAATGAGGTGTTGTGGTGTTGACCCTCGTGGTCCTTACGCGTCTAAATAATTAATGTAAATGTCAAATAAAGGTCGCGGTGAATTTTTAAAGAGTAATTTCACCGTCCACCGCCTGTGATGGACCGGGCTGCGTTAGGGTGGACTGTGGGTATGAGTGTGTGGAGAACCTCAGACACTGACTCGGTCAACTCTCGGCCAATCACAGTTGATCTCTGGTTGTCGTGTACAGTTTTACTCCACAGTACACGTACTGCAGTAACTGCGGCCTTTTGAAGTATTACACCAGGTCCACTTGATATGGTATTGATTGTGGAGCCGACAGTTGAGAAACCCTCGTAGTTTCCTGTCGTCCTGTTGGTACAGTCCTAACCCTACAGTCGTCATCAGTCGTAGTAAAAGTACTTGGACCACAGCTCTTTCTAACATATACTCGGCCAGTGAACAAATAAAACCTTATTATTGTCTTTGAAGCCGAGGAGACGTGACAGCTCTGTTTCCCTCCTCTTCCCACTTTTCCCTGTTTGATGGCAGCTCTACTGCCCCAGGGCTGCCGTAGGGGGAACTGCAGGTTTTTCTTTCAAAGTCCCAGTTCTCAGCACATGCAGCCTTGAAACAGGAGCAGTGAAGTGACGTCCACAGGGACAGGGGGACCCACCGTGTCTGTCCCCTGAATACTGATTGGCCCTTTGGTGTCCACTCCCCACATATTTGTCAAAGAGTTTGCAGCACATATATATTTTAGTCTGAAGCTGCAGGGCACGGCAGCGGACGGAGACCGGACCAGTGAAGCTCTGGTGTCTGCTGTCTAAATGGTCAGTGTCCTGTTGGAGCCTGTGGTCAGTAGCTGATGGTCAGTGTCCTGTTGGAGACTGTGGTCAGTAGCTGATGGTCAGTGTCCTGTTGGAGACTGTGGTCAGTAGCTGATGGTCAGTGTCCTGTTGGAGACTGTGGTCAGTAGCTGATGGTCAGTGTCCTGTTGGAGCCTGTGGTCAGTAGCTGATGGTCAGTGACCGGCTGGGCTGCTGTGAATACTGACCTTCAGTTGGTGGATGTTCTTGGTACAAAGTGTTTTTAAGAATCACAGGTGGGTCGAGCTGCAGGGTTGACGGTGTTCCCTGTGGCCTGTAGGTGGCAGCATAGGTGATTTTAAGGAGAGCCGCATATTTAAACGAGCCCCCTGCTGAATATCCACGGTGCGGGTCACGGACCTGTTATGTCACACCGTGGGCTCTGACGCTGCTTATTTAGACTTAGTCACGTGACCCACTCCGGCCTCGTTGGTACGGCAGGTGTTCGGAGCAGAGCCACGGACTCTTGTCTTACACGTGTCACAGAATCATCTTTTTTACACTGCGTGTCTCCTTCCCTCTCACGCGCACGCGCTTCTTTCTCCTCAACCTCAGCACCACAGCCACCAGGTCACCATGGAAACCACTCCGAAGCACACGGCCAGCTTTGAGAAATGAGGAGCGAAAGAGGGAGAGAAAAGGGGCGGGGCGGAGGCCGTGAAAGGTTAGGGTGTAACCACATGCCCCCAAACGTCCCCTCTCTCACTCCCCCCTCACTCCACCTCT